GTGTGTGTGTGTGTGTGTGTGTGTGTGTGTAGCTTCACTGCACAGTTCCAGTGTACGGCTCCTGTCCCACTGCTTTAGCCGTCAATCCTGTGACCAGCAACCTCGTCACCGTGCACGCTGACCAGCAGGTAAACGCACCGTCAGGGTTTGTCCAACGTTGTTTAAATAACAGTAATAACCTGTCACAGTTCAAGTCAAACACACTCCGCAGGTCTCGTGACGGTGTCTTTGTGTGTGTGTGTGTGTTTTGTCGTGTGTGTGCAGATCTTTGAGTTCTCCCTGGTGCAGAAGGAATACACCGAGTGGAGCCGGAAGCTGCAGAAACAAGGGCTTCACTCTCTGTGGCTGGAGCGAGACACGCCCGTCACCCACGTCACCTTCAACCCCAGAAACCCGGATCACATCATTCTGCACGACACCTACATGTTCTGCATCATCGACCAGAGTCTGGTACGTGAGCACTTTATTAGGAACGCTGTGCAGTTCCTCCCTCTGTCACAGGAGGTCAGTCCTGAGCCGGCCGGGGCTCAAACGAGTCACAGGATTTAAAACTTGTAAACTTTCATATTTAAATAAAAGTCTTGACGGTTACAGTCCAAGACAGTTTGTAATGAATGTCGATAATGTTGTGTTCTGGTTTTAGCCCCTCCCTGAAGCCAAGACTCCGCTCTACAACCAGATGATGCTGAGGAGTCTCCCCGAGGCCGAGAGGATCCGACACAGTCACGCCTTCAAGATCTGTAAGAACTTCAAGGTACGTCAGCGCACAGGAAATCTCCGTCACCTAATTCTGACTTACGCTCACGACCAGTGACGAGATGGCGGCACACGTCTCCAGGTGGGAGTTTGTGAGACGAGTTGTGTCCGTGCATCGATCCTCTCTCATGAGTCAAAGACGATTTGTTACAGAATATAAATGTTTACTGTAATAAATCTAATCTCACATGATCTGTGAGAGACCGTGTTTAAAATCCTGCTGATGTTTCACGTTGTCTCGTGTTTCACAGCATCTCCTGTGTGTGAGTTTACTGGAGGACCTGTCTCTGGTGGTAGTGGAGCGCCCTCTACTGGACATCGTGTCCCAGCTGCCTGCTCCCGTCCGGCAGAAGAAGTTTGCCACATAAATGAACTCAAGCAGGTTTTTCTCAGACCAGAAAAACCCACTTTAACCCCGACATCCAGAATCAACAAGTTTCAACGTGTGAACACTTTGTAAAAAAAAAAAGTTTCCTTAAGTAATAAATGGACAATTTTACTGTCGTTATCGTTTGGCTTTCGAATTTGTCACAAAACCCTTGGACGTCAGTGATAACAGAGAAACAGTGAGACCACATATTCTTAAATAATCGATATCTTTATTCATTCTGCTTCAAAGAAGCTCCACGTTTACGTCTGTGACAGACTCAAAGTCCCACTGGGACAAAACATAAATAAATAAGAAACCCTCCTCATCCATTCATGAGCAAGTGCAAAACAAATAGATAATTATTCAAATATTATTAGCTGTTAAATTATTAGTTTTATAGAACTATACAATAGCCACTTTCTTCGATGACAAGGTCATCAATATGAAAACAAGTGCATGATAAAATACCCAGTTTACAGGAGCAGTAAACCAGAGGACACGGGTCCACAAAGACCAACAACAGCACACAGGCATCGATTATCACGTCATTGATAATAATAAACAGGTGCATGAACTTGTGAAGGTTTGTATTTGACCTCCAGCTGCTCGTGAAGGACGTCCGACCCCTGAGAGAAAACTTGGAGGCTTTAAATAAATAAATAGAAAGTAGTGGTGTGTTCAGGGTCAGGGCAGAGTGTAGTGTTTCCCTGTGGCAGCGGTGGCTCCTAAGAGGAATTGTATCTGATGCAGGTACAACCCACAGCGACCTCCACAGTGACGGGCCTCAGGTAGTATTTCTTACCGTCGCTGCAGAGCTCCCTCCTCAGGAACACTCGGCTCTGCAGCACGGCGACGGAGTTGTAGTTGTGACTCTCTGTGGGCGGATTCTTGCCCTGGATCAGGATGCATCCTGAACACAGACACTCAGCCTCAGAGTAGCTGACGGGGAAGTGATCCTTCATGGTTCTAGTCCTACAGAGCAACAGGACGAGTGTGAGCAGCTGATTATAACAACAACTTCAAACCTTTAAAATGAGCTTCAGAGAGACGACGAAAACACGAAGCAAACGAACACAACTTCATTTAGAATCAAAGACGGGACGAGAAATAATAATAATATAGAATCAAAGACAGGACGAGAAATAATAATAATAATATAGAATCAA